AAATAAAAATCTAAAACCATCTATTTCTATGGATTTATACTATTTCGAACCAACAAAAGTAAAGAGTCGAAGAATCATACCTATATTCATGCTCCCGGCACCAGTGTATGGATCAACCATTCAGCTTCAAAGGCTACAAACATAAACCCAACAAAATCGAGAGGGGAAGTTATTAAATTTATCCAACATGAGCGAAATCTGGAATATTTTAGAGTTTGTATTGAAAATTAAAATAACCTTCAACTGGAGAAGACTCTGTTCTTCATTATCCTTTCTACCTCAGCAACACTCAAATGCGTGATCCCATTGTCTCTCAGCCATCTTTCTTCCACGATCAAAATACTTTTCAACTGCTTTTTTACCGTTCTCCACAGCTTCAAACCATCATTAACCTTTGGGAAGAAACCTTCGGGCCTCAAGCACCAGGCCCTAAATAACCCGAATAAAATTACCAAATCATTCCAAAGTCTCTCGACCCCCCTATCATGAAACTTCACGTTGCCCATCAGTAAGCTCGTAAACATCAATTTATCTATACTGGCAGCCAGACTTCTCCACACCCTCGTGAAATCTGTTCTGTTCAAATTTTCTTCAATTACCGATAGTTTACCCTGCAAATAATCCAAAGCTTCCACAAAAGTTCGGGAAAGTGTCGAGTTTTCTTCACTTTTCTCCTGCCATTGTTTTTTATTCTTTATATAATCTCGGCAAAGTGAATCGAAACCTCTCAACACGACAGTTGATAGCTTCTCAATCCACTCGTTTCTAAATTCCTCCAGTTTCTTTATTTCATCATGAAAAATACCATCATCGTTCGCTTCCATTTCTAGAAAAAACACATCCTCACAGAGTTCCTTCAAAAGAGATTCAAAGTGACGAGCAGCATTAACAGATTTTGCAACTTTAATAACAGCATTATCGTCAGTCAATGCAGTTAGACCCTCTGCTTCCTGACACCTCTGTTTCAGACAATCCAAGAACTTGCATATTATCGGTCCACCTGTCAATTTAACAAACCGCGACCTCAAAGACGCACTTGGCAGAGACCGACAACGATCGATCATAGACGAGAGACTTCTGAATACAACTGTTGATACAAATGGTGATTTATTCCTTTCATCAAGACCAACTTTCTGGCCCTCAACTACCCAATTTCTTTCATTTTCTATTTGTGAGTTCAATTTATAAAGCGCGTCATGCAGCTCTATTTCAGCCCACAAATCAAGCCAGTCGGGCCTATCAATGAAAACACTAAATGAGGACATCTTTTGTGCATTGACATCATCCTCAAGAGAAAGAAGTACTCCTGAGTGTGCAGCTAAAGCCTGTACTCGTTTATCGAATGCAATCATCAGATCCACAAGATGCAGCCAGGATAGTCTTCCTTGTGATTGGACCTCACTATCATCACTCTCTGTTTCAAGCTGGCCTATGCATACAGGGAATATTTCCTTCGCTAAGTAAGTCGATAGCGAAGATACCATAGCCGATATCCACTCTTCTCTGCAACTGTATCCGGACAGCATTGCCTCATCAACAAGCGGTTGCAGTAGGTCATCCATTGAGTCCACATAGTCCCGGGTGATTTTGTACACAAGGGCAAAAATATATTCTGGCTTTTCGCCCCATTTTGAGAAATGGCGTTGAGACGCGATGGAAATGGGATTCACGAGCTCCTCAATAGCCCAAAGTGGTTGGTGAAAGTTGATATCCCCATAATGCCCCTCGAGCTGCCGAGCTTTTCTTTTTCTCTGCAATTCTTGGAGGCCGCACAGTGAAAGGAAGCTTTCACAGTACTGGGCTTTCAGGTCTCCTTGCATTGTGAAAAGAGGGTTCTGCACTTCGGATGATCCTTTCGTATCGGGATTTGATGGATTTAAGGTTGATAGAGGTGGGGGCCACCCAAGAGAAGCAAGAAGGGCACGGTGATCAGCAATGGCTTGAGGTCTTAGAATGGCCAAGGCTCTGTCAATTCTATGATCGACAGCTGAAACGAGTCGGATCCATTGAGGATATGTCTTTGTAACTGCACAAAGAACGTCTTCCGTTGATCTAAGAGATCTGAGAGCAACTACACGCATATCCTGCAAAGCATAATCAAAGCGAAAAAGGTGTTAAATATTTCCTACTCTTTACGAGATCATCTTTTCAATGCTCCATAGTCCATTCAAGATATTAGCATCTGCTCACATTTGTTTCAGTTGCAGCACTAAAGAATGAAAACAGATGAAATATGCCGTACTGCACTCTCAAATCTCAGAAGTTTTCTCAGTTGAAGCACTCAAAAAGAATTCTACCTTAATAACACAAAAGGAATAGGCTAAAACAACCATGTCTCGATCGCAAGAATTAATACGACTAAAAAAGACGGAAATGTGTCTCGAATCAAGTAATCAATCAGTCAATGCAGAGAATATGAGCTAAAGGCTTGCAAAACTCCCATCAAATCATGTTTGATTAATGCGCATGAACATGATTCTCCTTTCTTCTTTACTTCACGATGTTAATTTTATCAATTCAACAATTCGTTACCTCAAAATACCAACATCACGTAAGAACCCTCATTTTTTATAAACACAGAAAAAGATGTAACAGCTGAAAAATTTGCCAAATCAAATTATGATATCCAACTATTTAAAGGAGCTTTAAAGAAAATCTTGTCTAGGTTGGGACTTACTTCTAAATTTTTTGTTGATGGGTGCCTCTTCAATGTTCTATTCATAGTGGATGACACAGCATCTTCAACGTCACCAACCAATGTATCAAGCTTCAATGCAGTCTCTGCGTGTACGAGAAGATTTGTTATGAAAGTAAACACACCAAAAAAAAAAAAAAACAATAACAGGATCCAGAAAGAAACCATACATCTTTCTCCAGTTAGTCATGTAGTAGATTGTTCATCCTCACATGCATGATACTAGAGACCAATCACTATTCTGAATACAATCAAATCATTTTATGCCACCATATTTCATATATTTTTCATATCTCATAACAGTAATTTTCCAGAGTAGACAGATAATGATGGTGATGTGCAGAAAACATTGTTTTACATAGCTCGCTGTGTACCTTTTTTTTCCAAAAAACGCGACGTAGCTTTATATATTTAGCATTTTTCCCGAAAAGCTTACGCGAAATGCTGAAAAAGTACGTTTTTTTAAGCAATTTTGCGCTATTTCAAGCTATTTTGCGCTATATTTCTGCAACGACATTTAAACAATAAAATATTAAAAAAACTTGTAATTTTAGGTATTATAGTTATATTTTTAAACTAGTATTCGACCCTGTGCAATTGCATAGATGTAAATAAAGTATTGTGAGTTATTTGTATGCATATAATGATTTATTATTTTTCTTTCACCTTTTTGCTGGCGAAATTTACAATTAAAGGAGTTGGAATATTTTTTTTTTAAATTGCGTTAATCTGATTGAATGTAATGTATATTTTGGTACGTCTTTTTTTTGTGAATTATTTATTATGTTTATTATTTGTTTCGGAATTTCAAATACGTTTTTTATTATTTAAAAAAATAATATAAATGTAACCGCAATAATAACATCTAATCAAATTATACGGTCAACACAATTATATGGTCAACTACCTGTAATAAAAAGTTTGAAATGATTTTTGTAATTTTGAAGTGATTAGTGTTGATTATTTAATAATTAAATGAAAGATTAACTACATCAAAAATAACGATTTTTGGAGGGAAATGATTAATTGCCACATAGGTAAAATTAAATAGGTTTTATTAAATGCTATTAGCTAGTAATGATATATTTATAGATGACAACTATAAACTAATTTTGACAATAATTTCAAATTAAAAGTTTGAAAATTCAAAGCCGTAAGCTGCATAGTGCAATATATATCGGTCTAGGTCTATTATATCATTATATTTTCGGGTATTTGACATTTAAATTTAAGAATAAAAAGTTCAGATCTAATGGTTAGAATTTATTTGTAACTAAATTAAAAAAATAATTATTATGTATATGCTTAATATTAAATTATGACTTGTCATATTATATTTTTGTTGTTTGTTTTTACTCTTTTAGTATATTCGCTTTATTATATACATATTTATATTATGATATTTACATTAAAAATTTGTAAGAAATAATTCTTAGATGTTATTTAGAGTTCATTCAAATACCGTCCAGTTTTATTATATGCAAGTATATATAATATTTCTATAAAAATATTTTTTTATATTCAAATAGCATACGCAACACGCAATGATATTTACGCTACGCAGTATAAAGACCAAAACGCAACACATTACGCTATGCGTTTTTTAAAACACTGGGCTTATCATATTATATTTTTGTTGTTTGTTTTTACTTAGTATATTCGCTTTATTATATACATATTTATATTATGATATTTACATTAAACAATTGTACGAAATAATTTTTAGATGTTATTTTGAGTTTATTCAAAAATTATGATAATTTTTAGAATCAACCATCCAGCTTTATTATATGCAAGTATATAAATAATATTCCTATAAAAATAATTTTTTATATTCAAATAGCTAACGCAACACGCAACGCTATTTACGCTACGAATTATAAACACCAGAACGAGACACATTGTGCTATGCGCTTTTTAAAACACTGGCAAAAAATAGTCAGATCGCACACATCAAGAACACCTGGAACAAGAAGTAAGTTCTTTAGCAAATCCTATCATGACAATGTCTTGAGATGAAGAATTTCTCCTGTAGTTGCGAATTCATTCACATACACAACAGCAGCATTTATGACGCGAGTGAGATTTTGAGCAAGCAGCCATGATTCACAATTCCGATAACGAGTATGTGTATGAACATTTAACAGTATAGAAATGTCCAGAGTAGTGGGTATATACTATTTACAACAAACACATAATGACATAAAATGGTGACATGGTAGAGATCGAAGATTTCACATGACCTGCAAAAACGAACTTATCCAAAATTTGCCTCACACCTAAAGTAACACACATACTCATACACATGTTCCACAACTAAAATTTTCAGAAGTACCATTTCCACATGGATGAAGTAACATATCAATGAACAACTACAACATACAATGAAATATTTGTAAACAGCTAAAAAAAAAAAAACCTAACCTGCGTAATTCCTCACAGTTTCAACTCTGGCGACTTCCTTGGCCAATGCCTGCAACTCCTCTCCCATTCCTCTCCTTGATCCTCCTCCTACGAGCAGCAAAACAGCCATACACGCATCAAATCAGTATCCTCCAAACAACAACCCGAATCACAAATAAAAAGAAAAACCCTAAAAATTCAAATTACCCGCTGGAGATTGAGTGGAGATGAGGCGAAGGTCATCCAACTGAGAGCGGACACTGGAGAAGAGCGACCCAACGAGGTTCGAATTCGATGAGTGTCGGGTCAAGTGAGACCGGAGCTCTTCGTTGAGTTCGGAGAGGGTCCGATCGAGGTCGTCGGATTCGGTCTGGAGCTTCGACAGCAGGGTCGGGGCTCCATCGAGGTCCTCCCTGGAGCTTAGGGTTGAGTTCAAGAAATAGAGTGCTTGCGAGGAGAGAGATGCGTGGGCCGGTAAGGGTCGGATCAACGGATCCTCCGTCGATCGGGCCATCAGTTTGACGGTCGGAAGGAATGAAGCACAATTGGACGGGAAGAAGATGGAGTGAAGTTGGCCTGTACGGGTTTGCAGTTCAGTCCCTCGTTTTTTCTTGTGGTTTCATTTCAACCAGGAAAAACTATGTATATCACACTTGTATCCTTTTTAATGTTTTCATGCCCAAAATACACTTTATTTATTTATTGTTTTAAAATATATGCATTTTTACTATTAAAAAGTAAGATGCAAAATTTAAAAAAATGGTCCACTATGTTAGCTATTTTCCGAGAAATATCCATCATATAGGGCGTTGTCAAGAAAAGTCCACTAACTTGTCACTTTAATAAAAATTCATACAAAAACTAAGATAGCGTACTAAAAGTGATCGTCATTTTTAGTACACTATGTTGGTCATTGTACGTATTTTGATTAAAAGTGACAATTTATTGAACCATTAATGATGATATCTATATGTAAGTCTTTTTCAAAAAATGATCAACATAATGCACTAAAAATGAAATTTATCCAAAAGTAAGCTAACAGATTCACTCATCTAACAATTAAGATATTTCATACAATAATCTGAGTCAATTAAGTCGTTTCATATGAGAATTTGTATTTAGTACTTAGTCTAAATCGTTTTGTTTATAGTATAATTTTCACTTTCATATCATAATAGGTTTTTGTAATCTAATAAAATGGATAAACTTGTTGTACGGATTATGAAGTTTTTTTTACTAACAAAAGTAAAGGTATGAACATTATTGGAATAATATTTTTCGTGTACAAATTAACTGGAATAACAGTCTGAAACAATAAATAAATAAAAACAATAAACCAACCTAATAGAAACAATCACGAATTATATTTAACTTCACCCAAAAGAGAACTAATAATTGCAAAAAATAAAATAAAATCACCATAACTTGAAACACAAATGTTTAAAGAAAATCCAGTTTTATCAACACGTAATTATACAACAAATTGTTTCATAAATAACCTCCCTTCTCTGCAATAGTTGTTGCAGCAAACCATTCATGTAAAACCGAGCTACCGGTCGATACATGTGGTAAAGAACCCAAATCTTAGGGTCAAACATTAAAGATCAAAGTGCAGGAACATTATTGACTAGCAGGTTGCTGTTGCGTGATGCAGTGGATGTTTCCTCCACCGAGTACAATCTCCCGAGCTCCTTCAACTCTGACAATCTGAAAAAACAGAGGGCAACTGAGAGATCAAACATTGAAAAAAAAATGTAGAAAGAAAATAATAATAGGTTCACAGTGAATATGATTATCAAATAATTTGCAACAAATATGTAACCATTGTACATTATTTGAAAAACAACTAAACTTCCTGACCTCATAATCTGGAAATGCCGAGGACAAAACGCGAACAGCTTCATCATCCCACTTCTTGTCACCAAACTGAGGTGTAATAATTGCTCTATTAGCAATGTAGAAGTTTATATATGAAGCGGCGAGCCTTGTGCCGGGAACTCTATCCTTAGCATCTCCATCCTATAGTTCCAATTAAACCAAAGTAGAGAGAAAAAAGTGTGTATATCAGATGATTGAACCACATAGGATTCTAAAAATGAAATGACTTCCACAGTTGCAACACACAATATTGACGCTTAGGGCGTGAGATTTTCCCACATGCGGACTTAATTGCTGTCTTCACTTTATATGGGAAATTCCTTATTGTCTGCAACAAAAACTTTGTGAAAGGAACAACATTAAATTTATTTGTTTGATATAACCTGTACCAGCCCAGCAGCCTCCTCATCTGTCATATAAAGTGGGCCGGGCACATGGAGTTTGATAATTTCGAATTTTCTACCTCTAGCATCCGTGGCACTTGTAAGAACTGAAAGGGCCTCCACAGATCTCTCGTACTGTGGGTCTGATTCATCATCAGTCCATGACAATAAGACAACACCAGGCCTTGCGAAACAGCACATGTTATCAATATGGCCATTAGTGTCATCATCACCTGCAAATTACATGGAAAAGTAAGTTTGATATGAGCCATTGCAGCATTTTTACTGCAAGTCAAGGGTTTAAGTGCATATTATATAATCTATCATCCTTTTCCTTTGGACCAGGCAGGTAGAACCAATGTAATGCCAAATGTGAAGAAGGACGCTGAATACCATACAACCCATGAGGCAACCATATGATCTTCGTAACTCCAAGATATGCTTTGAGCTCATCTTCAATCTGTGTTTTAGTTAAACCAGGGTTTCTGTTTTTATTCAGGAGGCACTCTTCTGTTGCAAGGCATGTCCCTGAAAGAAAAAAACAAAACACATGAACAATTTTTTTCATGTAACAGATATTTAAGGATGAAATGGATAACCTAGAATTTGAACTCTCAATGAAGTTAGATTCTCATATCACCACAGGAGAGCCAAAAGGTTCTTGACTATTACATTATTGGAATATGAAAAAGGTCAACAGTTCAAAGCAAATAGTAACTACAATTTTACGAAGTACGGAAGCTGGACAGGACTAAGAAATCATGGTAATGTTCTAGATTTCAACTTCATTCTCGCATACATTAAGTTTTTAAACTATTTCTATGTCCATTATCTGACAATAAAATTAATATACTAAGCACGGGTTTTCTGGTTTCTTCCATAAGCATTTCTGTTTTTTCCTGAATTTGGACAATTGCATATTGCATATGTTGGCAGTACACTACTCATTGTTTGACTAATATCATCATAATTACAAGTTTGTATATCACCTGCAGCTGAATAGATCGGAGGTAATGGTAAGAACCTCAATGATTACCCTAATGGACATAGAAGTTATAAGGTAGCAGAAAAACAGAACAAACATATCAACCATGGTATAATAAATAAAAAAAAATGAAATACCTTCTCCATCTACGTGAATGCTTCCGCCTTCAAGGATCATTGAATGGGGAAACCTCGGAGTCTTTTCAATTTCTAGAACCTACAATGAATAATATGTTAAAAACCAAACATGAAATAGTGGTAAACACATGCAAATGAACAAAATAAGACATGTCCACGTTCTACTATGAACTTTCTGGTTAGAACTGACCGACCTTTCGAGCAATAAGTAAGTCGAGGCTCCAGTCTTCATAACAACCTCCATCTTTTCCTGTACACATCAAACAGAACAGGTTAGTTCACAATCTTGTTCGTGTAACTTAAGATGAGTGCATAATACAGAGTAGATGTTCTTTTAATAGAGGCAACATATGTCGATGCAGTTATTTATCCATACAGATATAAATAGCCAAAACTTGAACTCAATAGATAGCAGAATGTTATTAAAACTCCAGAAGCTAATCATGTAATAAACGTAGGGAGCAGGAGCAGGTTGAAGTTAATTAAAAAAGTAAAGCACCAAAAATATATCATCTGAGTTACAACGTTAAGATTTCACATCTCTAGAAACATTATCAGAATCTCATAGTACATCCTTCACCACGATCGACAAGTGTGCACGTAATATCAAGAAATTTGATTCTGAACAACACTGAAATAACTTCACTTACAGAAATCCTAATACAAAGCTAAGAATGTAACCATAATACCAAATAGTAATTGCACCCTTAAACCTTATATTTATCAATTCCATTATTGATGTACATAACTCAAAGACCATTGTTCCAAAGGTATTTGCATTAGAGAGAAAAACATTTAATAGACCAACCAAATTTGGTACAAGTTTAGTCAAACTCCTATTCTATCAGGCCAATACAATAATTAATAAAGAAATTGTGATTTCCATCATAAATAATGCTCAAGCATATCCCATTCATTGTTCACATTCTGGGATCCTTTCAGTTAATGCTCACAGTGTGCTTACCACCATAGCTATTGAAATTCCAATCAATTCCTGCAACCTTTTGGCCCAGCTTCTCCTCACTCGATAAAGGATTTCTGGTAACAAACTGCCAAAAATAAGCACCACTCTTGAAACATAATTCCAGTGAGAAGAAACACAGTTTCATTTTAAACAATTGAGAAAAGAGCTCACTGTTGGACCAGTGTCACGGAACCAAGAATCGTTCATGCTCATCTCAACCACCCTAATATGCTCTGGCAACTGACTGCGCGCATTGTTCCACTGCCCATAAAACCTTGCATTCATTTCAAAGAAATAAATAAAACAACAGAAATAACAAGAACATGGTCATCCTTACCTGTGCAGGACTTGCACATACAGTAACAGGTTCAAATCTTGAAATAGCGGTGGCAACTTTGGCGAATGCCCGTTGAGCATGCACTCCATGGTCACGCCAATTGTCGGGTCTTTCCTATGAACCAAGTCAATAAACAACAGAAAATTGCCTTAATATGCTTATTGCCTAGCTTGTAGCAGAAAACAATCATTTATGATACAGATGAATAAAAATCTTAACGAGCCGGGGGGTGAGGGGTGGGGTG